GTACGTAGTTATTACCCAACATCTTTACGGATAATCATCCGACACTTGTATAGAAAAATCACCCGACACTTGGACGGATAATCACCCGACACTTGTTCATAGACATTGCTCGACATCTGGACGGATAATCACCCGAAACTTGTACAGATACATCACCTGACAGTTGGACGGATACTCAACCGACACTTGTACAGAAACATCACCCGGCACTTGTACAGAGACATCACTCGTCATATGGACGGATAATTACCCGACACTTGTACGGAGACATCACCCAACATATGTACAGATACTTTATGGACACCGATCCATTACCTAGCGTGCCACGTGTACAGGGACAACAACCGATACCTTAACAGTTAACACCTTACAGCAGCTGCAACAAAAGTCGTATTTGACTGATCTAACAAGATTTACTTTCCTTGTCTTTCATAGTCCCCATTGTTTTACATGTTTTTAGTTCGCATTTCGGGTTGGTCATGTTGTAGGGGCAAATCTTAAACCTTTTGAAGGGAGGTCGCTTTTTATAATTGTGACCTTTGTTCGATTTGCGTGTGTCTAGTACTCTAAAGATTAGTTTTTTTAACAAATAGTTGTGTGTCTTGTTTTTGTATCTGTGGTAGACTTCGAACGATTCAAAGAACTCCCATGAAAAGTAACAGTTTATGTACTATACATTTTGTTTGTTCTCTTTCAAAGTTCAAAATATGTTGCAAAAAAAGGTTTTAAAACCCCCCCAAATAAGTTAAAAATTAAAAGAATAGATGATATTTAACAGTTTTCAGTACGTGAAATTTTAAGGAATCGAAATGTCAGTAACCAATTTTTTCTTTACTATTTACCTTTTAATTGGAGAGTTGATAATACATTAGTGAAAAGTGAAAATTATTTTAATATATTTTAAGTTTCTACCATTAAACATACTCCGAATATCAAGACCCAAGGACTTTTGGTTATGAAGAAACAAGTTTAAGGAAAAGTGGAAAGAAAGCTTTGTTTTTCTTTTATTAAATCCAAGGTGTTATATGACGAAACCGATTGTCATTGTTTTTGTGAATTCCTTATGTTGAAAGATATTATTGGTAGCCAACATTTAAGCAAATATGAAAAAAATACTTGCTTTAGAACTATGCAAATTAACGTGTCCAAAATGAGAATTTTCTCATGAGTAATAAAATTTCACATACTTTTCTGCTAAAATCTTCAATAAAAAAGAACACTCCGTTCTTGAAATATTGCAATATTTGGTATCAAAATAATAGTTGGAATATGATGCACACGATGATGATATAAGTTAATAGTAATTGTGCAATTTAAAGGCTCTAGGAAGAAATATTTTACCGCACATTTAACACCCACACAGGTGTAAGTCTATGAGGTCCCATTTGTCATAAGATGGATTATGAAACTAACTGTTCCTGATTTAAGCTTCCTATACCCAAACCTTTTTGCATTCATATTGTTTGGAAATTCCAAGCGGGTCCGATGCTTATGTTTAGACTCCATAGGGGTTGACCCTACCTTCGACATGAAGTATTGTAGGGATAGAAAATGTTATAATGAGGCTTCTTTAAAAATTCTATAACATTTCATATTATTTACAATTGGTTATGCAAGTGTAAACACATACTGTGTAGCGGTATAAGATATGCTACCTTATGTCATGGTTCATTCATAGCTCTATGAAGCAAGGAGAGATCACAGCACTATGAATCCGAGAGGAGTTCATGGCACTTTGGACCATTGAGGGACTCACGGCACTCTGAATCAGGTACAGATTAGTATCACTGTGTAACAGGGAGAGGTTCATAGTACTATAAATCAAGCAGCGATCAAGAAACTGTTGATCTGGTAGTTTACGGCAATATAAACCAGCGATGGGTTCACGGCACTATGAATCAAGAAGAGGTTCATGAAAATGATGATCAGGGATAAGTTCACTGCACTTTGAGCCAGTGAATGGTTCACAGCACAGGGAATAAGGAAGAGGTCATAATGTTATAAGTATGGCATAGGTTTTCAGCACTTTGACCAGCGGGTGGCTCACGGCACTCTGAATTAAGGAGAGGATCTTGACAATGTACTGTAAAATATATTAGAGAACGTTCGCGGCACAATGAATCAAAAGTATGGAGCAGATTAGCAATACGATAATAACTATCACCGTAGTTAACATTAATGTCACCCCAAATAATTTTTGTATTCTGGTCTAAATGAACGAACTGACCGCATTACTACTAATATTTCCCCCATTCACGTGATAGTCTCGTGTGGAACATCTGCTTGCTACAGACAGGTACCTTATCACGAAGCTGATATGAACATCGGGTTGTGTCAGATACTTGACAAGTCGAACACTACACCGAACAAACAAGCAGGCCGCCCCATCGTTTGACCAGTTGGCTTTTATAACGTGTAATAAATACAGAACGTCCCCAGGTGATGACTCTCAACAACTAGTCAACTTGCTGTTGCAATATATATCTCGATAAGGCTTTTCATATTGTAAGAATGGCAAAGGAACTTTCAAGACGATAATTGTACAACGCTGTCTATGTTTTATAGTAATGCAGTAGTCAATAAATCATAATGATAAAAAAAACCAATTAAACTTTTCAGATGCAAACGATACAAATGTAAGATGACAATGTTTTACACATACTATTTATAATTATGCGTCCAACAATTGTTGTGCAAACGAACAGCGACGATAACGATATTTCTGTTCCAAATATGAACCGTCGGGGCGTTATAACTGTGATATGACACTGTGGACACCAATAGGTCTTCTCAGCAGAATTAACATTAACCTACATTTCATTGAATTCATACAATTGATTTTATGATGTATGATGGAACGGAAATTAACTTGTTTTAACAACTGTTGCCAGAAACAACATGCAGTGACCATGTTCAAATTTGACTTAATCATTTTACAATTGTTCTGGACAGATATTGAGAAGCACTTCTGTTAACATCTGGATAGATGCGAATTGGGGCATCTAGTTTCCAACGTCCGTATCATAAAAAACAACACTATTGCCTTCAACAACCTCGACGGTGTCCCGGATAATTGCCTTTAAGCATTCACACAACGCTTTAGTACAAACCTTAATGCATGTGCAGATGATAAGCATGCATTGCCACTACTTGACGTTGCATGAATAATCTATCCAGTGTTTAGTTATTCACTTGATATCGGACTAGGCATGAGTGCCGTGTGTTAAACACAGGACAATGATACATGTCATCACAAAGTAGACCATCCAATACGACCGCCTGTGTACGAATGAAACAGGATTCGGGACATTGTAACGACACAGTTGGAAACATGTCAGATGCAAGTATATATATATGTATATTTTCAATTTTATCGAAATTCAATATAGTTTTGATGCCACTGTCGTTGTTGAGTCTACACTCGTCTCAATTTTTGTGTTAATATAAGTTAATTTTATATCGATCATTCTGAACTTTCAATGCATTCACACTTATATGTTTAGCTAATAAATGTTGGGTAATTACGCCAAATTTGTTTTTTTGCTCCGTAAAATGGACGATCACCCACTCTTTAAATTTTCAATATCTGAAAAGAACTGTTTCTATGTTTTCTAAATGATGCATTTCGATGAATCGGTGATACATATTTCCTACCCTTTCACGGTAAATTTGAAAACATTTCAGAATAAGGAATACTTATTAATCAACATGATGTTAAATGTTGATGATTACATTTTATCAGTGTAATATAAAGTTTATAATTGAAACTATGGTTGATATTTTTTTTCTACTTCGCTTATTTTCACTCTCCCACTAAACCGACCAATCAGAGTGCAGGGTTAGGTGTGAAAAAATAATAATGAGTAATTCACTTGTGACGTCATAATGTCCCTGACGTTTTCTTAAAGTGACGTCACAAAACAGCACTCCATGTCTCAATGTGTTTGGCTGGAGATGGATATTCAGTTCATGAAAGTCAATTTATTTAAAGAGGATAATGCAGTAAAACATAATATACTTTGGTTTTATGAAAAACCGTGTTTATTCGTGGTCTGAACAATTTTTCATATCGTACTCGTGCTGAGCAACCGTTAAAAATATCACAAAATTCATCTAACTCGTAAAACATAAAAGTTAACTGGTCATTCATCACGTCATTGATCTCCTGCGTCACAATTACCCCAGAGACCATTATTGTACTTTTTTCATTTCTAGCCTTAATTTTTATTTTCAATAATCAATATGACACGGGAGCTAGATATAACACTTTTTTTTTTTTTAATTTTAATTTTAATTTTTCCTTAACTCTAAAAGATATTAAAAGATAAACAATTCCCAGTGGTTGATTCTGATTTATTTTTTCCTGTTAAAGTATTTATAAATCTATCATTTTCAGACAAACGAAGAAGTAATCTAACTTGCAATTACTTTGATGTTATGAAATTGATGAACCGGGCTATATTTATATCAAAATTGCATAAAGAAAGCCATCGGATGGTGTTCTAAACGAAACCAGTACCGATGTAATGTTTACCTTGGTAACATACCGAGACCTCTTAAGCTTAATATAGGTTTCTGATGCATTTCCTCATATATGATATCTCTTCGATGTCTGTTGTTATCCTTTAAAATCGTTAACTTCCGACTTTTTATTTATGTATTGGCACTGCAGTATTGTTTCCCTTTTTTATTTTATTTATAGTAGTTTTGGAAAGAAACATAAACGTTCAATGGAAAAATATACATGCATAACTTTTTCTTTTGTTTTCGCTCTGAATTGACGGACCGGTATGCCCTATATTTGTAAATATCAATAATTTCATACTTACCGATATCAATACAGCACGCAGAATCAAATTCCATATCAATTAATCAATCAATTTTATAAGATATGTTAGATTAAACCTCAACTTTTTTAACGACACACTATTGCTGTTGTAGATCCTGATGAACCATAACTGTGACGGCACACCTTCTTAAAGTGACGAACCATCACCATCATGGCAAACGACTCGACCTTTCATCATTTCCAAGAATTCGAAACGGCCTTGGCAGTATGGCTGTATTTCCCGCCCTTTCTGATCATCATCGGTACATTTGCCAACGTTTTATCTATTGTCGTTCTTCTTCGGAAGCCGATGAGGACGTCAAATACCATGTTTTATCTCCTCGTCCTTTCCGTCGGCGACATATTTGTACTGTATACGGGTTTGCTACGCTACTGGCTGAAGTTCGGATTCAATCATGATTTCAGACTTATTTCTAACGCCTTCTGTAAGGTTCATGGTTTTCTAGTTTACGTGTCTTTAGACTTTACAGCATGGGTATTGGTTGCAGTGACTGTAGACAGATGCTTTTCAATTCGTCACCCATTTAGAGCAAAGGTGATCTGTACACGCTCCGTGGCTAAGGTAATTGTTGTTGTTATTTTTCTTAGCCTTATTGCAATCAATGGACATCTGTTTTGGTCACTTGCAATAATTGACCTCGCCGACGAAATCCAATGTACGGGTATAACGTACTTTGCTAGTACAATATGGCCCTGGATGGACTTCAGTGTTTTCAGCGCAATACCTTTTGTAATAATGATTGCAAGCGACATCGTTATTGTGCGACAGCTGTGTCGGTCCTCAAAGAGAATCAGAGCTCATGAAATGGCGAACCGGACACGGAACAATTCAGAAAAGTCTGATATTGCTGTCATCAAAATCGATACGGATTCTTCATCAACGCGCCTTCAACTAACGACAAGTGACTCAACTAAAAGCAGAGGTGGACGGCATCCGATTCGACAAAGATTGGGAAAAATCTCAAGCCTCACGATTATGTTACTGTCTGTGAACTGTTTGTTCCTAGTTCTGACCGCTCCAATCGTGATATATCTTATTGGGTATAACAAATGGTATGTTGATGCTTCCGATCATGCACGTGCTAAAATGAACTTGTTATGGTCTTTTTGCAATATGATGCAATACCTCAACAATGCTATTCACTTCTTTATCTACTGTCTTACAGGACCAAAATTCCGACGGGAGTTGAGATATTTGTTCACGAAAGGCAGCAGGGTAGTATCTATTGAACAGATGTCAGGAACAGAGCTCTATTAAGCAGTGGTTGCATTCAGTAATATTTCGTAAGAGGCAGAACAAATAACCGATTTTGGAAGATCTGTATCTGGAAAAAGTTCGTGGTCAACGAAAGTATTGGAATATAAAAAAATGCAGACACATCTTTTGCAATTTGGAGCATAATTTAATAATGAAACAAATAGAAGGATGTGAATTCTACTTTAATGGAGTGGGAAACCTAACGATAAAGTTGCAACAACAAATATATCATATTTTTATTATTTATATTCACAGTGACAGTGGTAATATTCTTGTTGACTTGATGGTTCCACTTAACATTGGAATATAAACACGTTTCTGCTAGTGTTAGAGTTTATAATTGGAAATATAGTTAATATTTGTTTCTACTCTGAAAGATAACGCTGTTTGTTACTGTCACACTTAACCAACCAATTAGAGTGCATGATTGAATGTGTAATAATAATAATGATAATATACAACATTTATATAGCGCCCTATATAATTTGTAAAATTACTCTCAAGCGCTTTACAACATATGGATAATAGTATAAGTTATAATTGTGATACAAAAACAAAGGCTTACAGACACTTTTATACATTAAGCAAGCAGATTATGATCGCAATGTGCACATAAATGAATAAATTAAGGGTGGTATTTGCATGACGTCTTTGCAAAGAGCCTAAATTGCAGACGTGAAGAGGTCAGTTTTGATGAACCTCTTGAATTTGGCCAGGGTATTTGAATTTCTAAAAGCAGATGGTAAGCTATTCCACAACGTTGCCGAAACCCTCACTAAGCACCGGTTTCCATGTTAAAAAAACCAACGAGTAATACATGTATCATAATACCCATGACGTTCTCCTATTTTGACTTTGCAAAACAGCATTTCTTGTTTCAATATATTTTGGCTGGAGATGAACGATCAGTTAATACAATATCAGATTGTATCGTTCTTACCTGAACTAGTCTTCATATCGACACTTAACTTTGAAATATATATACATTTCTGCTAGTTACTAAAACGTTGTAATGATAAACGTATCGGTAAAGTTTAAGCCCAGTTCATTGTACCTGCGAAATAACAGATGACTTAATTATGAACAAATACTCTATGATTTCAAATAGATCTTGTGCAACGAAATTAAGTTTGAGTAAGAGAACGATTTTATGAATATGGGCAAAGCTGGAAATTTACCTTCGGTCCTATTACCACAAAAATGTCGCGTTAGGTTTATTTTATGACCGCATAGGTATTGATTAATGTCATAGATAATTTATTTGGGAAGAAAAGATCTTCGCCGTATACTCGTAAATAATTTGATACGTCAATCGAGACATTTCAGGTGGATTAAAGACAATCCCGAGGGTGTTCCGAAAGGAGAGTTTATCAGTTAACACGATGCACAAAACACATTAGTGAAACATGTTATACATAGGAAGTAAGACTATATAAGGTGGGTTCTTTTTATTATTTTAGTATTATATACTAATATTGTTATCATTTTCACGTAACAGACTTGATAAAATTGTCAAAGCCAAATATGTCTTTGATTTAATAAACGTTCTCATACCTTAAAACGCTGTAGCCTTTCAAATTAAAATTCAAAGCTGAAAGTCTTTATCAAATTATTTTCATTGAAAGATATGCAAATTGTATTTCAAGGAAGCCCTCATATAACGACTGAAGTTTTCTGTGTTGATAAGGGTTATAAGATGAAGATTGTATGAAAATCAATATCAAAGCTAAGTTCGCTTATGATATTGCCAAAAATGTAAAATGGGCCGCATTCATAAATCCGTTCTCATGCTCAAGCGTAGCTTTTGTGCTCAAACCTAATTTCTTGTGATAAATATAAATTAATGATGAAATCTTAACGTTTACATTTGACTGTTTTTGATCGTTTAACATGATTTAATGTCAGTTACAAGAGAGTTGGTTGAGCACACAGACAATGCTTGAAAATGAAAAGGGACCATGAACTTACTTTGACAGTGTAAGTCGAGATAGTTTGTGATACTAACCAAAAATCATGTCAATATTTACAATTTGACACTAACAAAAAATATGTCAATATTTATAATTTGACACTAACAAACGTATAACAATATTTGCAATTTGACACGAACAATAATCATGTCAATATTTGACATTTGACACTAACAAAAGCATTTCAATATCTACAATCTGACATTTACAAAATGATGTCAATATCTATAATTCTAGCACGTTTGCGATGTAACGACACTTTTCATTGGTTAATGATCATGGATTATTGTGCTTGTAAAATCAAATAAGAAATAGTGCAAAATCTGCTCTCTCGCAATCATCACGAATCAGTACATAAAACAATGGCGGCCATTCTAGGACATACATCACTAACTTCTTAACACATTAAACCACGATTAACAGACATTATTTACACAATGGAACGCATAAAACTGATATTATAATTCACATGGTAGACCACATCAAACTGACACTCAGATTATTTTCAGACGTAAATAGACATTTTACAAGAAAAGAAATTAACTTCACGTTTCCCCACACACTCACCCCTGCAGGTCGAGGATCGAGAACAGAATATTCCTCCTGCTTCTCCACTGCATCATCGAAAGAGGCGACTTATGTGGAACACCCAGCTGGATTGGAGATTTTCATTTTTTGGAGACACAAAATCGACCAAAATAAACCTGCTCCACGCATTGAAATATTTGGGGAAGTAATATTTGCTTTACTTCTAACTAATGTTGTTTTGTAATGCCTTGCTTCGTGACACCTCACTTTTGACGTTATTGTTAAATGTTTGCCTAGGTGTCCTTATGCCAGGACAAACCAAAGTCCTTAAATATGGTTGATATTTCCTGCCTAGCATACAGCAATAGGGGAAACGGCAATAACAGGTTCCTCCCTTGTCAGTATAATGTGACCAGGGCCCGTGTTCATGAGACCGTTCTCATGCTCAAGCATGGATTCTGTGCTCAAACAAACTTTCTTGTTACTCACTTAAATTATGTCAAACGATCAAAATGTCAAATGTAAACATTGAAAACTGTATTCAGGTTCAAGTCTCTTCAAAATGTTTCCAAATCTTCGGCAAAATAAGATTTGTTCATGAATTTATAACAAGAACAAGTAATTAAGCTTGAGCACAAAATCCATGCTTGAGCATGAGAACGGTTTCATGAATACGGGCCAAGGTGAAATATTTCAGTTGGATAACACTTTCTAGTTAGCATCAGATCCGCGCTATCGCAAGGAAGCAATTTCACCATCATATCCTGCCTCCAGCATGTGTAAACCCATGCACGCATACATTACACACATGGAGGTAATTCGTCAAATAACCGTAGCTTTTGACAGAGTGTTTAATCCTATACAACCGAAAATAAACCCCACAATATAGTATTATAGTTTTTCTTTGCGAAATGAAGGTTGGGAAGTTAAACAAATAAATTTGGATCCCATGAACACCAATATTAAAACCAAATTTTGTAATAAGAACAATTCGAACATTTTGTCAACAAATAGAAATAAATGATTAAAGTGAAAATTTATCATCTAGGATTTTTGCTGTTACAAATGGAGAGTTATAAATGCTAAAATGATTTTTAAAAACTAAAGGTACACTGTATGTTTAACTAATATGAATTATTCATGATTTACGACGTCATCCAGGACAGATTCACAAGTGTGGTTTTTTTCAACGTACGATCTCTGTGTACAGATACTCAATTACATCATTATAAACAAATTAAAGTCACATCATATTAGTCAAGTTAATAACGTAAAGGATAAGTAGCTTGATTGTGATGAATACAAATATCAAATATCAAATAAATACCCTGCTTTTTTCACTTGCAGTACATCCTGGAAGCAGTAAATCAGTTATATTCATAATGAAGTTAGAACATTAAAAATAAATCCATTATAAACGATAATTTTATTGCAAATTTATTTAAGAAAAACTAACTTTGTAGCAGCATACATGTTTTTTCACACATTTACTGTGTTGCTACTTAACGTTTCTAATTGCAAATTCAGGTGGTAATGCACTTGCCTCTCACCAAGGGTGAATATGAAAACCAAGTAGCCACCTTGAAAAGGAAAGAAAAGTGACTTGGAGAGGTAATGAAAATCAATATTTACTATTCAAGCAATTATTATGAGAAGTATGTTTTGTTAATAACTACCTACCTTTAATGAAGATCACGGACTATGTTTTAGTTACATTTTTTTTATCGGGGTCACTTGTTAAAAGCAGTAAAAGATTAAAGGTTGCTACAGCTTTATATGAAAAAATATGTTTTTTGTAGGAAAACAGAAATGGCTTTCCATATAATAGAAATTATCGATATATGTGACGCTATGGATGTATTTACGCATAGGTTATTGTTACATTATGTTTACTTTACAAGAGGTTGATCACAATATATATAAGCATAGTCTCGAAGTACATGAATAAACAGCTATATCCAGAAACTAAATCAGAGGCTAAATAAAGCTGTGTCGCATAAGCACGAACGAAAATTATTTTAATTACAAGGTTATAAAAAAAACAAAATAAAATTGTGGAGCAATGCTTATAAATAAATAATGTATCCGATGGATACCATCTCACTACTTAAACAGTAACTATTAATTGGAACTTTTTTATGGCATGACTAAATTATCATTTCTGAATAGAAAATCACAAAGCTCTTATTAAAATATCTATATTTTGCCATACACTTTAAATATACATGGTATTCAACGGCAAAACATGGAATTTTCTCTATAATGATATGGTTTCTTCTTCTTAAAATATATACAGCACACTTTATCGTAACTGTGCATCAAATGTGCGAATATCTCTGTACAGGCTTATATAGCGTACCTATAGAGTGGAACTAGGTGAGAAAGATTTCACATGTTTCGAGGTAAAATCTATGAACGACTGTTCAGGTTTCCCCGTTCCATAGCTTACCTATAGCAGTGGAACTATGTGAATAAGGTTTCACATGTTTCAAGGTAAAACCT